GGACAGCTTGTGCCAAGGAAGAGGAATGTGGCCTGGCAGTCCAATTCAGAGGGAGTTAAAGAAGTGTAGACGTAGGTCCTGAGCTGACAGGCTCAGTATGCTCTTCTTACAGTAGCCACTTTGCAAATGCACATCAAAGCCCAGGGGCAGGGAAATTAAAAAGACTCTGTGTGACTCAAGATGGCCACCAGGATCTCCGGGATTGCAGCGTAGCAAACGCTGCCCCAGCAGACCAATGAGAATCATAGAGAAACCTAGGTTCTTTTGATTTCCCCTCCTGCTGCAGTACCGCTCTAGATGAGCGCCACCTACAATGGAGAAAACAAACTACACCTGCGTACATATAGAAAGGTTCTACCTGCTTCTAAACATATTCTTTGTATACCTGGTAATAAAGTTGACTTAGCAGAATATAGTGTTTCTTGTTGGAGTTATTGTGGACCCGTTTTTTTTTTTCATGTGTGTATTGACCTATGGGAGGTTGACAGTAAGAATCTTCTCTGCGTCACACAAGATGAATGGAAGTCTACAGAGATATCTCTGGCTACATGTTGTGTAGACAGTGTGTGTACATCCTGTCTCGGTATAACAAATGTTTGGTTGTGTACGCCTGTTCTTCCTTGTCAGTTTTTATACATTAAAAATGAAGCCCTGGACTTAGTGTGTTTTTTCCAGCTGTTGCAATAATGTGATAGTCCCAGCGTTCATCCTGCAGGCCTATATTCACAGAGCATAAAATACAGAAAACATACCGTTTAGATTATGCTTTCAAATCATGACCTAGGAATGTGAGCATCGGTACCACCGCACTGGAAGTATGAACCTGTATTATTGTAAAGAGCATTATACACTGATATTAGCAAATTATTTGTATTAGAGTATTTTTTTATGTTTCCTAAAAATTGGGAAAATTGTCTTCTACATAATAAAAGGCTGTAAGTACTGCAGATTCCTCATAATAGTTTGAATAGATGTGTGTGTTTCTATTAGTCAATCAAGTAGTGTCTATGCTAATCTTTCCTCAACCCTTTTACCCCCAGAGGCGAACCTGTTATCATTTTACAGGGCTTAGTGAACGTTGGTCTAAACTTCATCAAGGGGCCAAGGTAAAAATGCTCGCTTACATTGGTGGTCCCATCAAAGCAAGGTCCCCCTTTGACATTATGGTGATACAGTGGAAGAATGCCCCTTACATTGGGTGTCAATGGGAAGAATTAAATCAAAATAATAATTATTAATATGATTTTTAAAATAATAAAAAAAATAAACTAAATAATCAATAAAGAAAGAATTATGGAAGAATGTCACCATTACATTCGGTGTCAGTGTAGAAGAATGTCCCTACATTGGGGTCAGTGAGAAGATTGGCTTTCATTGGGGGCAGTGGGAAGAATCCCTTACATTGGGGGTCAGTGGGGAAGTAATGTCCCTTACATTGGTAGGTCAGTAAAGAAGAGATGTCCTACTTACATTGGGGTCAGAGTGAGACAAGAATGTCTCCTTACATTGGAAGGTCAGATGGAAGAAAGTCCCCTTAATCATTCGGAGGTCAGGTGGGAAAGAATGGTCCCTTAACATTGAGTGGTCCAGATGGGGAAGAATGTCCCTTACATTTGGGGGTCACAGTGGGAAGAAATGTCCATTACATTGGAGGTCAGGTGGGGAAGAATGACCCTTACATTGTAGCTCAGTGTGGGGGGGGGGGGGGGGGGGGGGGAGAGGGGGGGGGAAGATGTCCCTGTACAGTTGTGGGGTCAGTTGGAAGAATGGTCCCTTTCACAGTGGGAGCTTCATGTGGGAAGAATGGCCTCCGTACATTGGTGATCAGTGGGAAGAATGCTCCGTACATTGGTGATACGGACGTGGGAAGAATGTCCCTTACATTTAGGGGGTCAGTGGGAAGAATGTCCCCCTTACATTGGTGGTTCAGTTGGGAAGAAATGTCCCTTACAATGGTGATCAGTTGGGAAGAATGCTCCTTACATTGGTGATCAAGTGAGAATCAATTGTCCCTTACATTTGGAGATCATTGGTAAGAAAGCTTCCTAACATTGGTAGTCAGTGAGGAGGAAATGTCCCTGTACATCTGGGGTCAGTGAAGAAGAATGTATCCTTACATTGGTGATCAGTGGGGAAGAATGCGTCCCTGTACATTGGTGGTCATCAGAAGATGGCCCTTACATTAGGGGGTCAGTGAGAAAATGGCCCCACTTAACATTGGGGTCAGTGGGAAGAATGTCCTTTACATTGGAAGTCCAGTGGAAAGAATGACCCTTATAAGTGGTGGTACAAGTGGAATGAATGTTCCTAGCTACATTGGAGATCAGTGGGAAGAATGTTCCTTACATTCAGGTTGGTCAGTGGGAAGAAATGGTCCTATACATTGGTGGTCACAGCAGGAAAATATCCCTTACATTGTGGTCTAGTGGAAGATATGTCCCCATACATTGGTGGTTATAGTGGGGAACAATGTCCCCTTACATTGTGGTCAAGATGGGAAGAATGTCCCTAACAATAGGTGATTCAGTGTGGAAGCAATGCCCACCTTACATTGGGGTCAGGATGGAAAGATGCCCCTTAGATTGGGTGATCCAGTTGGGAAGAATGTCCCTTACAATTGGTGATCAGTGGGAAGGAATGTCCCTTACATTGGTGAATCATGGGAAGAATGTCCCTTACCAAATTTGGTGGGGGTTCAGTGGGAAGAATGTCCCCCTACATTGGGACATTTTTTAGGGGAGGCGCGGGGGGGGGGGAAGGGGAAAAAGGGGGGGATTCGTGGAGAATGCTCCTTACTATTGGTGATTCAGTGGGAAGAATGCTCCTTACATTGGTGATCAGTGGGAAGAATGTCCCCATACATTTAGGGGGTGCGATGGGAAGAATGTCCCCTTACATTAGCGTGAGTGGGAAAGAATGTCCCCTTACAGTTGGGGGTGAGTTGGGAAGAACTGTCCCCTTACGTTGGGGGTCGAGTGGGAAAAATGTCCTTAACCATTAGGGGTCCAGATTGGGAAGAATGCTCCTTACATTGGTGATCATGGAAGAATGTTTCCTTACATTGGTGGTCAGTGGGAAGAATGTTCCTTAACATTGGTGTCAGAGGAAAAATGTCCCTTACATTGGTGGTTAGTGGGGAAGAATGGTCCCTTACATTGGTGTCAGTGGGGAACAATGTCCCCTTACATTGGTGTAGTCAGTGGAAGAATGTCCCCTTATACATTGGTGATCAGTGGGAAGACGGCGCCCCTTACATTGGGGTCAGCTGGAAGAATCGCCCCATTACATTGGTGATCAGTGGGAAGAATTCCCTTACATTGGTGATCAGTGGGAAGAATGTTCCCTTACATTGGGTGATCAGTGGGAAGAATAGTCCTTACATTGTGGGTCAATGGGTAGAATGTCCCTTACATTGGGATCAGAATTGGGAAGAATTCTCCTTACATTGGTGATCAGCTGGGAAGAATGCTCCTTACATTTGGTGATCAGTGGGAAGAATGTCCCCTTACATTGGGGGTGAGTGAAGAAATGTCCCTTACAATTAGGGGTGAGTTGGGAAGCATGGTCTCCTTAATACGTTTGGGGGTGAGTGGGAAGAATGTCCCCTACCGTTGGTGGTCAGTGAGGAAAAATGTCCCTTACAATTAGGGGGTCAGAGGAGAAAGAACTGACTCCTTACATTGGTGATCAGTGGGAAGAATGCCTCCTTACATTGGTGAAATCCAGGTGAGAAGAATGTTCCTTATACTTACTTGGGATGTCATTGGGAAAGTAAAGCTACCTACAATTGGTTGGTCAGTGGGAGATGAATGTCCCTAAACAATGTGAGGTCAGATGGGAAGAAGAGCTCCTAATATTAGTGGTCCAGATGGGAAGAATGCTTCTTGCATTGGAAATGACATTGGTACTGGAAATATGCACAATCAAATATCAAGTCAATCATCTACAGCTTAAAGGGAGTCCCTAACAACCTCGGAGGAACTCTCCATCGGAACTGTGGCTGAGAATGGCTGGTTTATATGCTTCTTCCACATTCTTCCTGCTTGATCTCCTACATCAAAGATAGAAGCAGTTCTTTTAAATTAGCAGCTAACAAACTCTGGAGGAACCCTGGCTGAGAATGGTTGGTCTATACAGTTCTTCCACATTCTTCCTTCTTGGTCTCCTACACCAGTTCTTTAAAGTAGCACCTAACAATATCTGGAAGAACCCTAGGTTTCCACGGAACCCTGGCTGAAAATGTTTGATCTATACAGTTCTCCAGAATCTTTCTTGTTCGTCTCCTACACCAAAGATGGAACCAGTTCTTTAAAGTAGCACCTAACAAACTCTGGGGGAACCCTAGGATTCCATGGAACCCTGGCTGAGAATGGGTGGTCTGTATGGTTCCTGCACATTCTTCCTTCTTGGTCTCCTACACCAAAGATGGAACCAGTTTTTTAAAGTAGCACTTAACAACTTCTGGAAGAATCCTAGGATTCCATGGAACCCTGGCTTAGAATGGGTGGTCTGTATGGTTCCTGCACATTCTTCCTTCTTGGTCTCCTACACCAAAGATGGAACCAGTTCTTTAAAGTAGCACTTAAAAACTTCTGGAAGAATCCTAGGATTTCATGGAACCCTGGCTTAGAATGGTGTGGTCTGTATGGTTCCTGCACATTCTTCCTTCTTGGTCTCCTACACCAAAGATGGAACCAGTTCTTTAAAGCAGCACCTAACAACTTCTGGAAGAATCCTAGGATTCCACGGAACCCTGGCTGAAAATGGCTGGTCTATACAGTTCTCCACATTCTTCCTTGGTGGCCTCCTACACCAAAGATGGAACCAGTTCTTTAAAGTAGCACCTAACAAACTCTGGAGGAATCCTAGGATTCCATGGAACCATGGCTGAAAATGGCTGGTCTATACAGTTCTCCACATTCTTTCTTGTTGCTCTCCTACACCAAAGATGGAACCAGTTCTGTCAAGTATTACATATGTATTTAGGGTAACCCTATCAGTCAAATTTTTGTGTGTTGGTCAGAATAAAATCTGTCTCTGTTAACGTTTGAGACTAATAGAGATGTTCTGCAGACATGGTCAACTGTGATTAAGACCCTTTGGGGCAAAATGCATAGGCGGAGTTTGCAGTGTTTGTAAGCTGTTTGTCTATTTGCAGTATAGGACAAGAACTCAAATCTGGGTGTGACATTTACTATATATCTAGCTATCAAAGGATATGGAATCTTATGTATACATGTTTATTTCATTGATATGGAAGAAAACTATGGGCCGATATAAATTAAAAAAAAATATCATATTCATGGATACTCATGGCTTGACCTTTTGTACCAGGTGCTCTTCCGTACACATCCTACGTTTTACCATCTGACAAATGATTCCTTTGTATCTATCAAAGAGGTAGTAGCTTTGGACCAGAAGAGGGTCCACTGATACTAGACCTTAACCATGGACCTGCTTTTTAAAGGCAAAAATAATTTTGCAGTAGATCCATTAGAACCAATGTTCACTTTTATATCACTCCAGGTGTATTGTGCGCACATCATGCTAAATCAGTGCTCTCCAAACTGTGGCCCAGGGGCCAGATCCAGCCTTTTGCTTGCTTTTATATGCCCTTGGGGGGACTATTTCATCCACTGATACCAACAATGGGGCATAATTCTCTCCCCCCACACTAACACCAGTGAAGGGGCACAATTCCCTCCCGATGACATCAACGATGGGGCACAATACCTCCTAATGACACCATCAATGGGGCAAAATTTCTCCCAATGACATCAACAATGGGGCACAAATTCCTCCCAATGACATCAACGATGGGGCAAAGTTTCTCCCAATGACACCAATGATGGGGCACTATTGTTGCACTGACACCAAAGATGGGGCATTGTTTTTTTTCGCCTCACAGATCTTTTACACTTTCCATGGTCACAGTCCGGCCCCCCCTAAAGTCTGAAGAACAGTAAACTGGCCCGTTTGTTTAGAAAGTTTGGAGAAGCCTGCGCTAAACCATAGGCATCCTAGAGCACATGTTCTCTGTCTACGCAGAGCATTGTACCTTTCTGACCACATTACAGCCTGTAGACCTCACCTCACCTGGTAGATGATTTTCATTGGGACAGGTGGAAAATCAAGGCAGAAAATCAAGGCAAAGGCATTGTGTGGCACTGCTAAGCAAAAAGCTTAAGATGCACAAGCAGTGAGCAAATATGGCTTTCCCAATATACAGTATATATACTGTATATATATATATAGATATATATAATTGAAAGCTGCAAGATTTTTTAAACATTAACACACAAGGTACAGTTCATATGAAAAATGAAAAAAAAAAAAGATATGTTTGAAATATTAATTGGTCAAGTTGGAACATAAATTGACTTGTGTTTTCCTTCAAGGACTCCGGGTTGTTGTTTCTTCGAAATACCCAAATCCTAACCTCACAGCCGTGTTTCATTCCGGTGCATGTCAACTGTATAAATATACATTTGACACTGTGTAGCAAGAAGATTCTTGTTTATTATCGCTGAGGCTACATCGGGGTTAAGTTTGTTTATACAGGAACTGCCGTATATCGCATGTGCTGATCGACCAATTCAAATAAACATAGCCGCAGCCGCTTGCCCTCATTTCTGGTAATGTCTGTCCAGATGAAGTCTTTATTGCAATCTTTGTGTCTCAATTTTGCGCTTTTTCGTTTAAACCGCCGGATATATCTTGCCACTATTTACAGGGAATGCGGAACCATTCATTACGATTGTTGCCTCCAGAGTATATAGTCTAATGCAGCGTTTCTCAACCTTGTTACAGATTTTTAGTTTCAAATTAAATGCAGAAGCCCTTCTTCATATCAGAGGTTCTCCCGTCACATCAGAAGCCCCTCATTACATCAAAGCCCCCTCTTCATGTCAGAGCATCTCCCATCACACTAGAAGCCCCTCTTCACATCAGAGCCTCATCTTCATGTCAGAGGTTCTCCTGTCACATCAGAAACCCTTCTTTACATCACAGCCCCCTCTTCTAGTAGTCAGAAGCCCCTCTTCATATCAGAGGTTCTCCCATCACACTAGAAGCCTCATGTCAGTGGTTCTCCTGTCACATCAGAAACCCCTCTTCATCATATCAGAGGTTCTCCCATCACACTCCTCTTCACATCTAGAAGCCTCATCTTCATGTCAGAGGTTCTCCTGTCACATCAGAAACCCTTCTTTACATCACAGAAGCCCCTCTCATGTCAGAGGATCTCCCATCAGAAGCCCCCTCTTCATATCAGAGGTTCTCCCATCACACTAGAAGCCCCTCTTCACATCAGAGCCTCATCTTCATGTCAGAGGTTCTCCTGTCACATCACAAGCCATCACATCAGGAAGCCCCCCTTCTTTACATCAAGCCCCCTCTTCAAGTCAGAAGTTCCCCTCTTCATATCAGAGGTTCTCCCATCACACTAGAAGCCCCTTCATGTCAGAGGATCTCCCATCACACAGAAGCCCCTCTTCACATCAGAGCCTCATCTTCATGTCAGAGGTTCTCCTGTCACATCAGAAACCCTTCTTTACATCACAGCCCCCTCTTCAAGTCAGAAGCCCCTCTTCATGTCAGAGGATCTCCCATCACACCAGAAGCCCCTCTTCATGTCAGAGGATCTCCCATCACACTAGAAGCCCCTCTTCACATCATAGCCTCATCTTTTTCTTCATGTCAGAGGTTCTCCTGTCACATCAGAAACCCTTCTTTACATCACAGCCCCCTCTTCTAGTCAGAAGCCCCTCTTCATGTCAGAGGATCTCCCATCACATCCAGAAGCCCCTCTTCCATGTCAGAGGATCTCCCATCACACTAGAAGCCCCTCTTTACATCCCTCATCTTCATGTCAGAGGTTCTCTCCTGTCACATCACAAGCCCCTGTTTACATCACAGCCCCCTCTTCAGTCAGAAGCCCCTCTTCATGTCAGAGGTTCTCCCATCATATCAGAAGCCCCTCTTCACATCAGAGCCCCCTCTTCAAGTCAGAAGCCCCTCTTCATGTTCAGAGGTTCTCCCATCATATCAGAAGCCCCTCTTCACATCAGAGCCCCCCTCTTCAAGTCAGAAGCCCCTCTTCATTGTCAGAGGTTTTTTCTCCCATCACATCAGAAGCCCTTTTCACATCAGAGCCCCCTCTTCAAGTCAGAAGCCCCCTCTTCATGTCAGAGGTTCTCCCATCACACCAGAGAAGCCCTCTTACATCAGAAGCCCCCTCTTACAGTAGAAGCCCCTCTTTTCATCAGAGCCCCTCATCTTTCATGTCAGAGGTTCCCATCACATCAAAGTCCCTTGTTCACATCCTCCCAGAGCCCCCTCTTCAAGTCAGAAGCCCTCTTCATGTCAGAGGTATCAGTTCATATCACAGAAATCAAAACATCAGAGCCCCCCTACTTCAAGTCAGAGCCCCCTTCATGTTAGAGGTTCTCCCCAGTCCCCCCATCACTTAGAGACCCCCTTTTGACAGTCAGAAGCCCCCTCAGTCACAGTTCCCCATCATCCCCCAGTCTACAGTTCCCTCTTCACAGTCAGAGCTTACCTTTTGCCTCAGTGCAGGCAAAGGGCCCCATCAAGTTGGAGGACTGGCCCCCTTGTCACAACTGGCGGCCCCCCAGCAAATTACAGTCTCCCCAGTCACACAGTTACCCCCATCACAGAGCCCCCCCAGTCATACAGTTCCCTCTTCACATCAGAGCTCTACCTTTTGCCTCAGTGCAAGCAAAGCCCCTCTGCATCAAGTCTGGAGGACTGCTGGGCAGGGGTGTCAACTTGGCGGCCCTTCAGCTGTTGCGAGTAATTACAAGTCC